CCCCACACGGACATTACCCACTATGGACATTTCCCCACACGGACATTTCCCCACACGGACATTTCCCCATACGGACATTTCCCCACACGGACATAACCCACTATGGACATTTCCCAACACGGACATTTCCCCACAAGGATATTTCCCCGCACGGACATTTCCCCATACGGACATTTCCCCACACGGACATTACCCACAATGGACATTTCCCCACACGGACTTTTCCCCACAAGGACATTAACCACCATGGACATTTCCCATACGGATATTTCCCCACACGGACATTTCCCCACATGGACATTTCCCGACACATACAATACCCAACACAGACATTTCCCCACACGGACATTTCCCCACATGGACATTTCCCCATACGGACATTTCCCAACACAGACATTTCCCCACACGGACATTTCCCCACATGGACATTAACCACCATGGACATTACCCACTATGGGCATGTCTAACACAGACATTTCCCCACACGGACATTTCCCCCGACAAACATTACCCAACACAGACATTTCCCCACACGGACATTTCCCCACATGGACATTTCCCCACACGAACATTACCCACTATGGGCATGTCTAACACGGACATTTCCCAACATGGACATTACCCACAATGGACATTTCCCCACACGGACATGTCCCGCATGTCTAACACGGACATTACCCACTATGGGCATGTCTAACACGGACATTACCCACTGTGGACATTTCCCAACATGGACATTACCCACAATGGACAGTTCCCCACTATGGACATTTCCCCACTATGGACATTACCCACTATGGGCATGTCTAACACGGACATTTCCCCACATGGACATTTCCTCACATGGACATTTCCCACACGGACATTACCCACTATGGACATTTCCCACTATGGACATGTCTAACACGGACATTACCCACTGTGGACATTTCCCCACGCGGACATTACCCACTATGGGCATGTCTTACACGGACATTTCCCCACATGGACATTTCCTCACACGGACATTACCCACACGGACATTTCCCCACATTGACATTTCCCCACACGGACATTACCCACTATGGACATTTCCCACTATGGACATGTCTAACACGGACATTACCCACTGTGGACATTTCCCCACACGGACATTACCAACTATGGACATTTCCTCACACGGACATTACCCACTATGGACATTTCCTCACACGGACATTACCCACTATGGACATTTCCCCACATGGACATTTCCTCACGCGGACATTACCACTGTGGACATTTCCCCACACGGACATTTTCCCACACGGCCATTTCCCCTCACGGACATTACCCACTATGGGCATTTCCCCACACGGACATTACTCACTATGGACATTTCCCCACACGGACATTTCCCCACACGGACATTTCCCCACATGGACATTTCCCCACACATACAATACCCAACACAGACATTTCCCCACACGGACATTTCCCCACATGGACATTTCCCCATACGGACATTTCCCAACACAGACATTTCCCAACACGGACATTTCCCAACATGGACATTAACAACCATGGACATTTCCCCACACGGACATTACCCACTATGGGCATGTCTAACACAGACATTTCCCCACACGGACATTTCCTCCGACAAACATTACCCAACACAGACATTTCCCCACACGGAAATTTCCCCACTGTGGACATTTCCCCACACGAACATTACCCACTATGGGCATGTCTAACACGGACATCTCCCAACATGGACGTTACCCACAATGGACATTTCCCCACACGGACATTTCCCCACACGGACATTACCCACTATGGGCATGTCTAACACGGGACATTTCCCAACATGGACATTTCCCCACACGGACATTTCACCACACGGACATTACCCACTATGGGCATGTCTAACACGGACATTTCCCCACATGGACATTTCCCCACACGGACATTACCCACTGTTGACATTTCCTAACATGGACATTACCCACAATGGACATTTCCCCACACGGACATTTCCCCACACGGACATTACTCACTATGGGCATGTCTAACGCGGACATTTCCCCACATGGACATTTCCTCACACGGACATTTCCCACACGGACATTACCCACTATGGACATTTCCCACTATGGACATGTCTAACACGGACATTACCCGCTATGGACATTTCCCCACACGGACATTACCCACTATGGACATTACCCATTATGGACATGTCTAACACGGACATTACCCACTGTGGACATTTCCCCACATGGACATTACCCACTATGGGCATTTCCTCACACGGACATTTCCCCACATGGACATTTCCTCACACGGACATTACCCACTATGGACATTTCCCACTATGGACATGTCTAACACGGACATTACCCACTATGGACATTTCCTCACACGGACATTACCCACTATGGACATTTCCCCACATGGACATTTCCTCACACGGACACTACCCACTGTGGACATTTCCCCACACGGACATTACCCACTATGGGCATGTCTAACACGGACATTTCCCCACATGGACATTTCCTCACACGGACATTTCCCACTATGGACATGTCTAACACGGACATTACCCACTGTGGACATTTCACCACACGGACATTACCCACTATGGACATTTCCTTACACGGACATTACCCACTTTGGACATTTCCTCACACGGACATTACCCACTATGGACATTTCCCCACATGGACATTTCCTCACGCGGACATTACCCACTGTGGACATTTCCCAACACGGACATTACCCACTATGGACATTTCCCACTATGGACATGTCTAACACGGACATTACCCACTGTTGACATTTCCCCACACGGACATTACCTACTATGGACATTTCCTCACACGGACATTACCCACTATGGACATTTCCTCACACGGACATTACCCACTATGGACATTTCCCCACATGGACATTTCCTCACACGGACATTTCCCACTATGGACATGTCTAACACGGACATTACCCACTGTGGACATTTCCCCACACGGACATTACCCACTATGGACATGTCTAACACGGACATTTCCCCACTATGGACATTTCCTCACACGGACTTTTCCCCGCACGGACATTACCCACTGTGGACATTTCCCCACACGGACATTACCCACTATGGGCATGTCTTACATGGACATTTCCCCACACGGACATTTCCCCACACGGACATTAACCACACGGACATTACCCACACGGACATTACCCACTATGAGCATGTCTGACACGGACATTTCCCCACACGGACATTTCCCCGCACGGACATGTCTATCACGGACATTTCCCCACACGGACATTTCCCCACACGGACATTTCCCCACACGGACATTACCCACACGGACATTTCCTCACACGGACATTTCCCCACATGGACATTTCCTCACACGGACATTACCCACTATGGACATTTCCCACTATGGACATGTCTAACACGGACATTACCCACTATGGACATTTCCTCACACGGACATTACCCACTATGGACATTTCCCCACATGGACATTTCCTCACACGGACACTACCCACTGTGGACATTTCCCCACACGGACATTACCCACTATGGGCATGTCTAACACGGACATTTCCCCACATGGACATTTCCTCACACGGACATTTCCCACTATGGACATGTCTAACACGGACATTACCCACTGTGGACATTTCACCACACGGACATTACCCACTATGGACATTTCCTTACACGGACATTACCCACTTTGGACATTTCCTCACACGGACATTACCCACTATGGACATTTCCCCACATGGACATTTCCTCACGCGGACATTACCCACTGTGGACATTTCCCAACACGGACATTACCCACTATGGACATTTCCCACTATGGACATGTCTAACACGGACATTACCCACTGTTGACATTTCCCCACACGGACATTACCTACTATGGACATTTCCTCACACGGACATTACCCACTATGGACATTTCCTCACACGGACATTACCCACTATGGACATTTCCCCACATGGACATTTCCTCACACGGACATTTCCCACTATGGACATGTCTAACACGGACATTACCCACTGTGGACATTTCCCCACACGGACATTACCCACTATGGACATGTCTAACACGGACATTTCCCCACTATGGACATTTCCTCACACGGACTTTTCCCCGCACGGACATTACCCACTGTGGACATTTCCCCACACGGACATTACCCACTATGGGCATGTCTTACATGGACATTTCCCCACACGGACATTTCCCCACACGGACATTAACCACACGGACATTACCCACACGGACATTACCCACTATGAGCATGTCTGACACGGACATTTCCCCACACGGACATTTCCCCGCACGGACATGTCTATCACGGACATTTCCCCACACGGACATTTCCCCACACGGACATTTCCCCACACGGACATTACCCACACGGACATGTCTAACACGGACATTTCCCCACACGGACATTACCCCACACGGACATTACCCACACGGACATTTCCCCACACGGACATGTCTAACACCGACATTTCCCCACACGGACATGTCTAACACCGACATTTCCCCACACGGACATTACCCACACGGACATGTCTAACACGGACATTTCCCTTCGCAGACATTTCCCTTCGCAGACATTTCCCCACACGAACAGTACCCCACGCATTATGTCAAATTGTATATAAAAAAACAATTTCAGAATATTTTGTTTTTTTACATCATTGTTATATTATTTGCATATCTCCTACTCTACTGGGGCAATGTTTGTTTTACTCAGAGTTTAACGGTGAAATGAAGCAACAATAATAACACATTAATTGTTCCTGGTGATATGATATCTATGACCTTTGTTCCATGAAGTTCTAAGCAAGTCGGATCTTCTTTGCCGTGGAATCAAGGAAATTGTTCTGGAGTTATCTGTCCATTTGAGTACGACACACACAAGTGTTTCAATCGCTTCAGGCGGTCACGTGTCATGAGATCATGACGTGTAGATGACGCTTGTTCCATCATGTTTGT